GCTGACGAGAAAGTGAAGAAGTCGAGGGAAGATGCACAGGAGGTCCTTGAGCGCAATGTTGAGCTTTGGCAGGAGCTTCGCAATAAGGATGAGGCTTTGCAAAAGGTGGAGAAGAATGCTAGCGACTTGGCTTCCCATTTGGCTGCTCAGTCCGAGGGTTGGTCGGCTTGTATGGAGGCTATGAAGGGGACCATTGATTTAGTGCTTGTCAAGGCTGGGGGTTCTACTAGCGGTGCTTTGCCAGAGGCGAACCCCGAGGCTTTTGGTGCATGGCTCCAAAATGAGGTTGGGCTGGTACGCCCCTTGATGGATAATGCTGCAGATTTCGGTGCATTTGTCGGCGCCCTTACGATGGCCCGTACTTTACAAATTTTGGGCTGTGATCATTTGAAGAAGGTTCATCGCCCTAATCATAATTTCCCCACTGTTGAGGATGTGTGAAGCACGAAGTTGGATGCCATGTGCAAAAATTCTACAATTTGATTTCTAAGAAGGTTTTGGATGGCTAGTGGGAGTCGAGTCTTGGCTTTCGAGGAGGCTACGGAGGCTACGCGACAGGTATTGATTGTCAGGGGTTTCCAGTTTCATATATTTTTTGCTTTGTCCTTGGCTTGTTTGTGACTCGCTTTTTGTGTTTGGCCTATTTTGTAGGGGAGGCGGGACGTCGCACCTTCACCTTCGCTTGCCAGCGAGGCTGATGTTACCGGGACCTCAGCTACTAGCGCCGGTGCTTCTGCAGGCACAATAGCGAAGGATGATCCAATCCAAGGTGCTCCTACTGAGATGGTTGTCGCTACAAGTCAAGCCACGAGAGAGGCTCTGAGCCACGGTGCTACTGCCAATGTGGGCGCTGTGCAGAGGAGGTCGCGAGGGTTGAGCAGAGACATGAGGAGCCCCCCGCTGTGGAGGTCATCGAGCAGGTTGGGGATAATGCCGATGCATAGGTCGAAGATTCTGCTGATGCTAATCTGATGGAGTAGGTCTGGCGTGAGTGTTTACGTCTGCTTAGCTAGAGTTTCACGCTTTTTGTTAACTTTTGTTTTATGGGCGCTGGTGTTGGGCGCATTGAAAACTTTAAAGTTGGATTAACTGTTTCCCTTGTCGCGCTAGTTCCTATGGGGCCTGCGCGCGAGGTGCTAGATGTGGTGGCGGTTATGATGAACTATCAGGATGTATACATTAGTGGTGAATCTTGGGCTCGCGCGAAGTTTAAATTTCCTTCTTTGTCATTTGAGCGTTTTTGGTGGGCGAAGGTTAGGGCATATGATGAGAAAAATTAGAGGGCGATGGTGTTTTGGAGGAATTCAGATATAACGGATCGTCAGTCGATGCGCATGCTGTTTGGTTTGTCTTCCGGTGCCCCGCGCATTGATGATGATGTGGATGAAGCCGATGCTATTGATTTTTTGTTTGATAGGGGTAATGCGGTGGTTGATTGTGCGGGTCTGCTTAAAGTTCTGAAGCCTGAGCCTGTAGAGCTTAGTGAACGGGACCGTCGGTATATGTATCGGGCGAGGGTTTTGGAGGGCGACCTACCGCTTGTTCCCCGCTGGTCCTTTGTTTTAGGGACCGCTTGCTAACATTGGTGATAACGACTTGGACGGGGGTTTGGATGTTGAGGTGGTTGATGTTGAAGAGTTTGGCGAAGATGTTGCGGAGTTCTCGCGGGGGATCTGTTGGAGTGTGTTGTTCATGATGTGGTGGAGGAGATGGCCATTGATGTTTGCTTTGATGAGGATGTGCTCGACATGTGGGAGTTCCATCATCGATGATTTTTGTGGTTTGCAAGGTTGTTGCTTTGTGTTGTGAGAAGATGTGTAGTTGTTGTGGCTTGTGTTGTAATATTGGTTTGTATATGTTGTAATCTTTTTATTTGTTTGAAGCATGTTATGTTTTTGGAGTGACCTATGTGTTTTGCAGCGACGCCCCATTTTCTTTTAGCGAGGCTCGCATTTCTGCCCTTTGCTAGGACTTAGTCGCAGTGACACCCCATTCCTTTTAGCGAGGCTCGCGATTCTGCCCTTTGCTGGGACTTAGTCACAGAGATGCCCCATTCCTTTTAGCGAGGCTCACGATTCTGCCCTTTGCTGGGACTTAGTCACAGCGATGCCCCGTTTTCTTTTAGCGAGGCTCGCGTTTCTACCCTTTGCAGGGACTTAGTCGCAGTGACGCCCTGTTTTCTTTTAGCAAGGCTCGCGTTTCTGTCCTTTGCTAGGACTTAGTCACAACGACGCCCTGTTTTCTTTTAGCGAGGCTCGTGTTTCTGCCCTTTGCTGGGACTTAGTCGCAGCGATGCCCTATTTTCTTTTAGGGAGGCTCTTGTTTCTGCCCTTTGCTGGGACTTAGTCGCAGCGATACCCCGTTTTCTTTTAGCGAGGCTCGCGTTTCTACCCTTTGCTGGGACTTAGTCGCAGCGACGCCCTGTTTTCTTTTAGCAAGGCTCGCGTTTCTGTCCTTTGCTAGGACTTAGTCTGTGACTACTTTTTTTTTTTAGAGGCTCGTGTTTACGCCCTTTCTTTGGGACTTAGTCGCGTGATGCCTGTTTTCTTTTAGGGAGGCTCTTGTTTCTGCCCTTTGCTGGGACTTAGTCGCAGCGATGCCCCGTTTTCTTTTAGCGAGGCTCGTGTTTCTGCCCTTTGCTGGGATTTAGTCGCCGCAATGCCCTGTTTTCTTTTAGCGAGGCTCGCGTTTCTACCCTTTGCTGGAACTTAGTCGCAGCGACGCCCTGTTTTCTTTTAGAGAGACTCGAGTTTCTACCCTTTGCTGGGACTTAGTCGCAGTGATGCCCCATTTTCTTTTAGCGAGGCTCACGTTTCTACCCTTTGCTAGGACTTAGTCACAGCGATGCCCTGTTTTCTTTTAGCGAGGCTTGCGTTTCAACCCTTTGCTGGGACTTAGTCGCAACGACGCCCCATTTTCTTTTACCGCGGCTCACGTTTCTACCCATTGCTGGGATTTAGTCGCAGCACGCCCCGCTTTTTTTTAGCGAGGCTCGCGCTTCTGCCCTTTGTTGGGACTTAGTCGTAGTGACACCCCGTTTTCTTTTAGCGAGGCTCGCTTTTGTTTATGGAGCATGACAAGGTTTTGGAGTTATGACTTTTGATCGACGGATGCAATCTTTTGAGCTAGGCAAATTTCTTTTTAAATCAATCGAAGGTTACATAGGTGACTCAAGTATGTTTCTCGTTGAAACTGCCGAGTGTTATAGACCTTTGACTCAATTACATTTCTTTATTGACTCTGTCGAGGGTTATAGACCTTTGACTCAAATACATTTCTTTATTGACTCTGTCGAGGGTTACAAAACTTTGTTCCTTTGTGAATGAGCCTTCGCCTTGCCTAAATAGTTCATCCTTAACTAGGAGAACTGATTGATAAAGAACCTTGGCGAGGCCTAAATAGTTCTTCCTTGGCTAGAGGAAGATGGCCGCTGTTGACGGTTGAGGCCCCGTAGATTACCGTTGAGGTTCTTCTCGAGTATCAAGGCCTGACGCGGGGGTTGCATTTGGAGGCGGAGCATGAGTTTCTCCTCGAGTGCTGCTTCTTTTTCTTGCTTAGCGAAGCTTCATTGGCGCACGACGACTGTTTTTGCTTCGCCTGAAGTTGGCTGAGGCGCCTCTTGCTAGCTGGTGAGGTTCCCTCGCCGAAGCCCTTGTCAACGTTGACCCACTTCGCCTAATTTGGAGGCGTTGCTTGATATAGTGAACCCTTGGCAGCTGTTCGCCAAGTCGGAGGGTTTGGGGCCGACTTTGTTGCTCTGCTGGCGGCCTCTTTCCCAGTTGTGGTAGAGAGGTTTGGCTGCTTTGGCGATGTGGTGCCCGGGGGATGTTACGTTTTTTCTTTTAGTATCCCCCGAGTACAGTTGGCTTTTGGGTCGACGCGCGAGGCTTCCACTGGAAGGCAGCTCGGGGTGCCTAAAGGTTTACGTGTTTTCTTGTGGTATCCTTGCATGGTAGTTGAGTCTGGGATTCGGGGGGTATTTTGGAGATGGTTTTGCTCTTGCGAGGGTTTGGTGGTTTGCGGGGCATTGGACCTTAGTGACGGGTGTGAACGAATGGTGTTTTGATGTTTCCCGCTGTGGGATGTAGCTATGGGGTTTATGTGCTGTTTATAGACTGGATGGATGGTTGTTGGGTGCTTCAGTGGATTTATTAAAGAGGGGTTGGTGGGTAGTGGTGTAAATGGTGACTTAATGGGGCCTGATCGGTTTCAAGTTGTGTTGATTACCTTTTGTTGCGCTTGTGGGCTGCATTGATTGTTTTGGCTTGAATAGAAGGAAGGGGATGAGCCCATGGTAATTTGTGCTGTTTATAGACTTAATGGATGATTGAGCCCCTGGCGTGTTTTGAGAGGGTGCTCATCTTTGTTTTCTTTGCGCCTCTACTTTTCTTAGGTAGAGGTGAAGTTTGCTTTGATGAGCCCCTGGCGTGTTTTGCGAGGGTGCCACTACGTCAGATATGATTTCCAGGGGCGGCTAATGGGCATTTGTTGGGGCGGTTCGGCCAGCCACCCCTACAAATTGATTTGTAGGGTCGGCTGGTACTGTAGCCGCCCCCTACAAATCAATTTGTAGGGGCGGCTGGTAACACCAACCGCCCTACAAATTCGATTTATAGGGGCGGCTACAGTACCAGCCGCCCCTACAGTGTATTTTTCCGCCAAAAAAATTCAAATTACCAACACATGCTCCCCCAAATCAATGTATGGATCATTGACTATCCAAAAGTTTAGGCACGCACAAGCTCTTTTGACTTACATTTTAACAAAAATGCCATATCACAGACATCTAAACAGGGCAGTACGAATTACATATGGACTGTGGTACAGGTGGAATGAACTCAATCATGAATGTGGACTACACATTGAATGTACACAAAATTTCAGATTAGAACAGACAGAGCTCATTACATTTTTAAAATACAATGACAATGTACATAATGAATGACAAGCTGCACATTTTAGAATACAGAGAGAACTCACTGTAAGGCTTCATCAGACATTCATCTGTGAACTTCTTTTACAATTGTGTCTTCACCAACAGAAGACGTCGGAAGCAGGTGTTTGTCTTCCAAGTCATCTTCATCAATGTTATCGTTGCTGGTGGTGTTGGAACCATCTAAATTCACAAACAACAATATGACATGAGACTAGATAACAATAGGGCATAAACACACCAGAATGGACAATAGTACAATGTATAGACATGAAAAATGACAGCAAGGAGATCTATATGCATGATATTGTCAGTTATAAATAGCATGAGAAACCACCAGTTATGATAGAAAATAGAGAACACCAAAATCTACCTGAGAAATGACAGTCTGCAAGATGCTTTGTCTCAGTTGACTCAAGCCGCATGCTTTCTGGTAGAAGGCAGTTGCAGAAGGCGCCTGAAAATAGTTTGGATTATCCTCCATTGTAAGATATTGGAATTTTCATCCCAATATGTGTGTTCTTTTGCAACAAAAAAAGTATATGTTTTGGTATGAAGTTACAAACCAACCTAATAGATCCATGTGTTTCATTTGTCAGTGACTCAGTTACACCCAAAAATGCAATTCAAATCATGGGAGATATTGACATCAAATATTAAGACTTATGCTTCTGATGTTTCAAAACTCTGGTCGGTATTTGCCTATAATCTGGACAAGACTAGTAAGAAATGTATTGCATGTGGCAAGGATAACTAGTTATCATTGATCACAACAGATCATGTATGAGTTTCACAATATTCCTTTGGAAAAAAAAAGAATCCATGTAACTTTTTTGTTGGAAACTTCCCAGCTTCAAGGAACCGGCCCTGCTTGCAGAGCTGGAGAATGGTTGAACAATTTCATTTAAAAACTGTGTTCAAATTCAATACATTAAATAAGGTGGACACCGAGAACTCAGTAACATGGTGATCCTAAAATTAGAACTGTGTGTTCTATCATAGTTGGATCAAAAGCAATGGCATTGAGACTTCCAGACACATTTAGGAAGTGATCTAATAAACATTCTAGCATCTGTTCTAATCTGACAGTACTGAAACTAGTCTAAAAGAATGAGTAGGAGGAGTTTTAGGTTTAACCACCTCACGTCCAGAGTACAGAGATTAAAATTTTTCAATTTTTCACCACTTGTTTGATCATAGTAGATATCAGATGAAGTGAAAGAGATATACAAGCAAAAGCCGAAACATTACCTAGAATCTTCCCTTCAACCATTGCAAGACTGAACACCAATCAAATTGGGAGATTCTTGATTGGAGGAAGACAGAAGCAAAACATCAGTCAATATGTTTCTACCGAGCAATGGATTTAAGCATTATTAGTTCACTTATGCAAGCAGAAGTATATTATCACTTGCCTCTTACCTGTATCTGTTAATAAACATGAGTACATTTATCAACTGATAGGTGCTCATCAGTTACATACAGAAATTTGATATTCACAAACTCAGTGACAGAATATTATCACTTGCCTCTTACTTGCATTAAATAATGTATATTTGTTCATGTGTCTACCATTTCATACAGGAATTGATATTCACAAACTTAGTGACAACAATGTAGAATTGCACTGAAGAAACAAAAACGTAGCAACCTAGGCTACAAAGAAAAGCACCATGCAGTACTGCATGTAGAGTTGATCCCTAAAAGGAATATCTACAAGTCAGTCTAGTACATCCTCTGGTAATCAAGCACAACACTGAAAACATGATTTCTCTTAATTGGAGAACCCCTAGCTTTTCTGACAATACATATACTACTACTCCTAAATCCTAATAGCATGAAATACACTTACTTCCACAGCTATACACATATCCATGTTTGCACTGGAGCATTTGAACAAACAGGCCATGTGTGTGCGAATCTAACAAACCTGATTGTCCTGGTCTGCTGCGCCATTGGGCTAGCAAAAGCACACCATCACCACCATGGCTCCATGATGCTAATGTTGTTGCCGTACAAAGACCACTGGATGACCGTGTTCGTGAGCAAGATGGCCTAGCCAGTGCGTGCATCACAGGAGGTGTCCGTTGTGCCGCCATGGCCGTCGCGCAGTCACTGCAAAACGGGAGAGGGTGGAGGGGTGGAAAGCAGGTATTCAATTTGGGTCAGCAGTAAACTTCCATCGATCTGATATTCCTTATCCTTAAATAAAAATTACCAAATCTTAATAACCTACGTGGCCAGTGGCGGCAGCCCTGATTGTGCCCCGGACGCTGCATCGACGCCGACAAGGGAGAAGCGGCGGGAGAAGAAGTAGCACCGCCAGAGGGAGCAAAGGGAGGTCATGGCCCACACGGCGCACATGCGGCGGTCGAGGCAGAGGCACCCACGGCGGACCCCGAGGTGCAACGCAGCCTAATCGAGATCCAGGAGGCCGTAGAGTCCGAGCGTGCGCGCCATGCCTTCGAGGACGCCTAGCGCTGCTGGCTCGAGGCCGCTACCGCTGCCGCCGGACCACAGTGAAGGTCACGACCGCTGTAGCGGAAGAGGAGACCACGGTTGCGTGGTGAGGCGCTGCTTGCCAGATCCAGGCTTGTCCTCGCCGGATTAGGCCTCTCCTCGCCGGATCTGGTGGTGGCCACTCGGATCTGGGCTGGTCATCGAGAGGGGCTCGGAGGAGAGGGAGAGCGAGGGAGAGAGAGGGCAGTAGATATTTTGGATGGTTGAGTTAGTGACTGTACATGGGGCATTTGTAGGGGCGGCTTAATCACCAGCTGCCCCTACAAATAGAAACAACGGGGGCGGCTCGTATCACCAGCCGCCCCTGCTATTTCATTTATAGGGGTGGCTGGTCTCGTGGATCTCGAGCATGTCACTGTAGGGGCGGCTCCATCACCAGCCGCCCCTAAAAAAATTGTCCTGTTGCTACAAACCGTTTTTCACGTAGTGTCGGGTTCATAAACCCGGGGTCCCTCGGGGACCGGCTTCCACGCCAGGGCTCGGCCCAAGAAGACAGCATGTAGCTCATGGGCCGGCCCAAGAGTCTAAGCGCAATAGGCCAGAAGGGCGGTCTGGTCACCGACCGGAAGGTCTGTCCGAAGAACAGCACCCGCTCGTCAACTACTTCGGCCCACCTCTCCGACCAGAGCGCTCGCTTCGGACTCCAGCCACCTCCGGATGGTCTCTCCGATCGGAAGGCCTGGCCCAAGCACTACTTTCGACTCCGACCCTGCGTCTCCGACCGGGGCTCATAGGAACCCTACTCACCGCTCTTCTCCGACTGGCATGACCAAGAGCCGACTGGGGCCATCCGACCGGGGACGCCCGCTCGGAAGGGACCATGGGACGAGCGAAGAAAGCAAGATAGGGCGCATAAGTCAAACCACGATATCAGGGACCATGCCCTGTACGCTTGTAGGAACAGTACCCTGTAACTGCCCTAACACAAATAGTATTGTAGGCGCCGACATTTACCCCTACAGTATTGTGGGCGCCGTTGAAACTCCCATACGGTGAAAGCCCCCCACGTGCTTCTAGGCATCAATAGTGTTGTGGGCGCCGGGATTCACCATACCGGGTGAACGTGGTGAGGCTCCTCACATGCCTCTAGGCATCAAATAGTATTCTACAGGTATCGACATCTACCCTTACTGAAGAAGGCAACACAACCTCCCACATGCACCTGACATTCCACAGTGACATCAACAGTGTTGTGGGCGCCTACCATTATCCTGTCCTCATCAGCGTGGGCAACAAAGGCTTAGTAGCATTCGTACTCTCTCCCTCTCACCTATAAAGCCATCCCCTTCATCTATAAAAGGAGATGCGCTCCTTCCAACAGGGGAGGTCAATTTCTTGAAGCTCAGTTCCTTTAGATTCATTAGATCGATCAGGTTCACTAGCTCACAACCACAGAACCGCCGGGTTCGGACCTCAAGCACACGCTTGAACACTTAGCTCATAGCGGAGATCCTGTCACTCTCGGCCCTTCTGACTGGACCCGACCGGACCTCTCATACACCCCATCTTTCTCCTTCTCGTTTGTAACCCCACTGCAGACTTTGCCTAAAATAGTATAAACCCTATGTCATTGAGTGCTGGGCCACCTTCGATCACAACGTATGGCAAAACTACAAATATTCACTAGTTGGACACTTTCTGTACCGATAGTTGGCGCCGTCCATGGGGAAGACGATGTACGTTCAACACTTTTTGGTCATCGGATGGCCCACTTTTCCGCCACCCTCACCGAGGCAGGCTCGGGCGATACGATTCGCTTCGGCTCGCTGGAGTTTCCCGCACTCTCACCTGTTGGGATGTGGGCTCCCTCGGTCTTCGAGCCATCCCAGGCCTTCCCCTTTGGAAGCCTAGACTTCGTCGCCGACCGGCTCGGCGTACTACACCTCCGCGAGGAGGCACATGTTCTGGCACCCGTTGGAGGGGTGCCCCCCATCGACTCCGGGACGCACGACTTCGACGATGCTACATCTGCGCTTCTTTCCGAGAAAACTCTCTGCTCAAACCCCGATGTAAGTAATATACATACTATTATTTACTTACTACCTTCTATCTTCGGCCCATTACCCGGAGGAATTCCATTATCCCCGTCGTGGCCACCGTACGGCTAGTTCCCCTACGGCCTCGTGTCTCCCACAGATGCGTACGCCTAGGGGCTCCAAAGGATTCCAGCGCCTCCCCCTCTCATGTCTGAGTTCGTGGGGATGGCGAGCTATGCTCCCACCTGTTTCCTTGACCTCTTGGATGATGACGCCGAGAGTGACGGCTCCAGCATCGGCGACGTGGCACCTAGCCACCGTTCGTCCCAGGAGTGCGCTATGGCGGATGCTTCGGGACAGGCACTAGGGGTAACAGGGTCCTCGTAGACCCACGCCCCTCCGGACCCTCATGCGGAGACCCTCGAGCTCACACATGAGCACGGGGAGGAACTACGACAACAGTGGCCGCATCAGCCACCGACTGCGCATGCACGCTCGGCGAACCACGCTGTGCCCCATGCGCATGGACAGGCGAGCGGCGCCTGGGGTCATGCCTGTCTGGTCCAGCGCAACTCCATGGATAGGGGGTCGATCCCCCGCAGTTCGCTCGGGCCGGTCAGAACATCGCCGCCGTGGCGATGCTCCTGCGCGGTCTATCCGAGCCGAACAACCCTCATCAAAGACGATCCACCGGAACCTCCAGGCACTAGTGGAGACCGCCGCCGTTCAACAAGCGGAGTGCTCCATATCGCGATGTCGACTCATGGCCTCGCTCCCCCATCAGGGGAATGGGGACGCGGTAGATGGGTCGCTTCACCCTATCACCGCAACAACCTCTGAACTGGCGCCTCGTCTTGACTTAACGACCGCTCCGCACTGACCGCCTATCTACGCGTGGCTCGAACCAAACCGAGACACACGGAGCGGCGACCGGGGCCTATAGCACGCGGTTTTAAAGACAAAACCACATACACACTATATGTGAGCCCAGGAAGTCAAATCTCACATAGAGCCACAAATAAGGGTAATATCAAGAGACAATACTTATTATATAACGTATTAGTAAAAGGAAAATAACCTCAGAGTATAGACAGCGGAAAGTCAACTCTGATCTTCTGGCGAAGACTCCAAATCCATAGGGACGACTGACTGGTTGACCACAAGCCTAACTCCTCCAAACCAGCAATCTGGTACCCATCCAGGATTTTTATCCAAAGTATAGAAAAGTAAAGCAAGCGTAAGTACATGTCGTACTTAACAATTATATCATGGGGTTCATGAGGCTCAAAAGGTTGACACTGGTTTACTGCGATTAGCCTTTAATAGGTCATCTTTTTAAGCAATTGAGTGGCAAAGAATTTATCATTCCCATAAACACATGATTAGGTAAACATGAATAATGTATAGCATAAACGATTAATTATTAACATCATCATTATCCAATAGTGATCATCTCTATTCCATAAGGGTCCAATGCCACTCGTGACCGTGAGTATGGCTGTTATAACAGTTTTACACCCTACAGAGGTTGTACACTTTCCCTATGAGTCGTGATTTACCCTTTCGCCCGAGGTAGCTAATCCCTTAACCCACTTCCAAGGAAGGTCGGCAGGGTTCACTATGAAGCCTTTCAAAGGTTCATCTAACAAGTTAGGGCCGCTAGGCGTATGTGGCCTCTCTCTAGGAGTGGCACGCATGGGCATCGCATCATGGTACACACATCCCAGCAGGAAAGGAAACATACCTTGCGCCATAAAGGTAACCACTAACAAGCTAGAAAAGGTCCTCATACTGAGCTAAAGCTAGAGCCATATAGCCCTCACAGCTGTACTGTAAGTCTCGGATGATCGATTACAGATAAGTCCTTAGGGAGAGGAATTTGAAGCATTTAGAAAGTAGCTAAACACTCCAACCCCCTCGTTTCCATGTTACTAAAAAGTCATATTTTAATGTTTATTGCATATACCATTAGTCAAGTTACAAGATCATGGTTTTGATTAAGCACTAGCAAAAACTATCCAATGCAATATCCCAAAGGTATCAAGGTACAAGATATCAAATATCTAGGATATCCTTATTGGCAACAAGGTAGACACATGCAATATGACTTAAGTGATCAAATGTGAATAGGTAACAAGGATGGTCCCATGCTATACTTGCCTTACACACCGATCCTTCGGTAAGCTTTATTCTTCAACGTCCTTCTTCTTCTTCTGGATCACCACGTATATCTCACCGACTGAACGTAATCGTAGAACACCACACAAACATCCATACACATACATGCATAGCATACAATTGTATTTATATTAGAACAATACACCAATCATAGAAAAATAGGTAAAAGAGTTTGAAATACGATTCTACGCATCGATACGAACACATAGCCGCGAGAGGCACGCTAATCAGAGCTATCGTTAAAAGGTTACAACTACCGAGAGATTTGCTTAATACGTGGAAAAGAAAACTATAGGCTTCATTTATATCCATATAAGATATTTTATAAATAATATAGATTGAATTAAGTCAATTTTAGATTTGAATTATAAAACAAAAGTGAAATAAATCATATTTTATTTATAAAATCCAGTTGCATAATCTTT